ATCTTTACCTCACAATAAAGTACACTTATAAGCAAAAGAAGTATAATTCAATGTACTTTCAAAACATTACATGGAAATTATATCATACGCACATAATTAAAAATATCATATTTGAAAATATCTGGGTTAATATTTATAAATTTAAAGATATAATATTTGAAAAAAAATTATTTACAAAATTAGTTAATTTAAAGATTTGCATGTTTAAAATCAAAAGAAATATCTACTCTATGTGGGTAATAATCATAGAAATTTCACACACACAAAGAAATTTCAATCTGGAAGACAAATATATCACTAAAATTCTTAAAGGTTAGCTATTCAAACACAAAAAAACTTTTCACCAACCTTAAAGTCACTCACAAAATAAAAGCAACCTATATTAAATTATCTACTCAGAAAAAGCACCAGACAGATATTCCAAATTAGCCCGAGTGAGTGCTCTTTAATGAACTTTTGCTTTGATTCTTCTTCCTGTCAACAGGGGCAGCCTCTTCACCTGTGGTGACACTTTCGTTCGTCTGATGCTCTGCTGACGGTTCTTTTCTAAATCCACTTAAAATGGTTCTCATTTATTTCTCTTTCCTTTTTTTTCTCACTCAAATACCTTTCCTAAGGCCTTCACCTTTCACTTTTCAGAGACACCTATGAAGGACTATGGGATAAAATTTCTAAAAACACCTAGCTAGTAACTTCTTACTTTTTTAACGGACTTCACCTGAAAGTTCTTACTGCATCTTCTGAAAAGTAGGTCACACCTCTGCCTATAATTTTTCATTTTGAGTCAATTGTTTTGAATTTCCCACATGTAGATCTTTGGAATTAAAGCTTTTAACAGAAATCGAGTTTTTATATGAAATTTAGGCTTTTATGAAATATGTATCTTAGGCACCTTGAAATCTATATTTATTTTGGGTGCAAAGTTTTGTTGTTATAGTATTTGGGAACGAATTCTTAACAAATACACTGATTTCCCAAAATAAAGGAAATTATGTGTTTGGGGAATTTATATTCAATAGAATTGGATGAATATTCGCACAAAATCATTAAAACGACAATGCTTTTCAAATTATACATAAAATTTAAATGATAGGCTTATATTCTGCTTTGAAATAAGCAAAACGAAAAGGTACTAAAAACGTAATATCTGAATTGAAATCAAAAGACATAGTATCTGAGTTTCAAAACTGATTGGTCAGTTATTAAGCTAGATGAATGATTGTGCCTAAAGCTCGGTGCCACAAGTTTCATGTTAGAGTCTCAATGGTGTCATGGATGTTGTAAGAGTTCGTAATCCACTTTAAACCTTAGGATCCAGTCTAATACGACTGTAGAGAGTTTTGCATTGTGCTGACAACCATCCCCGTAAAAAAGAAAACAAAAACTAACTAAACTAGTAAAAAGAAAAAGTCTCTAAATTCGCCATTAGGCAGACTGCTATGACTGACCAAGGGGCTGCTGCTAAAATTAATAAGAAGAATGATTGGACGTGTATCTGAGAATAGTTTAAATGGGAATGTGATTTTGAATGTACATAGTATATAATGTATGCATATGAAAAAGTTTCTCTACCCACGAAATGATAGTCGATAGATATCCGCAGATATAAACACTATAATTTTATTAAATAAATAGAGTGATGAATATTTGTTTATTTTGGTTTTGAAAAAGTTTTGAAAAAAAAATTATAAGGGCATTCAAACTGTTTTCAGATAAAGTATATTTTTATTTGAAACTAAGTGCATCAAACTGCTAATAAGTTAACAAATTACAGGTTGCAGATATATAATTAACTGGAGTTAAAGAAAAACTAAAAAATTGGTTAAAAACATATTTTATCTTGTATACTTAAGGTATCCACCATTAGATATAAATACTATAATTTTATTAAGTAAATAGATCGATAAATAGCTGTTTGCTATTCAAAAGGTTTACAAGAAATCCACTTAAGAATAAATTGCTTGATTACTTTCAACAGTGCTTAAATCTTCCAACAACAAGATGCTATTTTAAGCTTTTTTTTTCAGAAATAGTGAAAATAAATTGTATTTTTAAAGTGTTTTTCATAGACAAACTTAACAGCAAAATAAACTTGTGGTTTTAGAAAAAAATCAACAACTTATGATGCGTTAAACCGAAAAATAATTACGAAAATAATTGGAATAATTACGTCTAGACGCTGTTGTTTAACTCACGAAAAAAAAAAAAAAAAAAAAAAGAAAAGAAATCTGTACAAGCGGCTTTATTGTCAAAATTATTATTATTAAAATTATTAAATTATATTATTATTATTATTAAATTATAATTATTATTATTGTCAAAATTATGTTATTATTTTGTTCCCAAAATATACAGCTTCTGTAAATTACTTTCTGTTAATATACTTCTTAAAACTTATAAGTTCACTTTTTTTTTTTTTGCAAAAATTAAAAAATGTTTTTCATTCATGGGACATATATTTTTTGAGTAATAATTATAAACATGTATTAATAACGGTATATTGACAGTGAATAACATACGAGAAATTTGAATCTGGTAAATAAATTTTGGGTACATTCAAATGTTATGTATAAAATGTGCCAAACATACAGCTATACAGAACAAAAAGGATGAAATCAGCAAGTTAATGATCTTGATGGCACACTTATTGATCATGGAGGTTGATTTTTTTACTTACTTACATATCGTACTTAGCACGACATAATTCTTATATGAAGACGAAATTTTCCAGGCCAATGCTAACTATGAGTTACATATAGATTGAAACTAAACAGTTATTAAAAACATTTCCTTAAACATTCTAGATCTCTTACAGATGGTTAAAATAAATCTATAAAAATATTTCTTGAGCTGCGATAGTTTATTAATAATGTATAGCGATTAAAATGTGAATTTTCTGTTGCTTATTCCCCTGTGCTTATATCTATTTTGAAGCAGTTTTGAAAAACAAAATTTATAGAAGTAAAGGGTGATTGCTAAAAATCCCACACACAGAAATCAATAAACACGTGCTTCGTAAAAACGTTCATATATAATTAAAATGACACTTTCTGTCCAATGGGACTCCCTTTTAGTCTTAGTCTTGTTATTGTGTTTTTGAAATGCTGGAACTTTGATACCATGTCCTTCACTACTAGAACGGAATATTTATAACAGATTCAACTCTACTCAGGGTAAAATAATGGGGAATTCGGTACTCTCCATCCACACTATGACACCGCAATTCTAAACGAAATAATGTTGGATAGATGCTTCTGTGTATGATGGTGTAATTTTATGTAATAATGATGTATTATAGTGTAATATTTTGGTAATGTTGCTATACTTCAAAACTGGCATCTGGGAGACTCCATATTCTAGATTCCAGCCGAATTATATAAGACTACTGATTTATACGGCCGTTATGGCATTTGATTAATTATATTACTATTTATTTTATTGATATTACTACAATACTTATAGTGTCCTAATTATTATAAATTACTAAAAATATTACAATTACAATTACTAAAAATTAAATTATACTATTTGATTGATTATTATTACTACAATTATTGTTATTTAAAATAAAAATTTTTACCACTGATAATATTTTGAATAAATCAATATATATCATCAAATTACTACACACAAAACTTTGCATTTTATTTCTTGGAAATCAAATTATTGTTCAACTTACAATCTCTAAAAATGGTTGAAATCTATTTATGACAGGTTAGTTTTCTAATTTTCATATTTCTTCTTTTCATTTTAAACTTGAAGTAAAAACAATACATTTTATATGCAAAAATTAATCATACTTATTGAAACTTATTAAAACTGTTAAATGTTTTTAAAAAAGTAATATAAAAGATATCACTCTGATAAAACAGCAATTTGTTCCTAGACTTTAATGATTTTTCCGTTTAACAATTTTAGAAATACTAATAAAATAGCTTTCTTAACTTGCAGAATTTATAAAACCATAGAAATAAATATGATTATTTTGAAAAAAAAAATTGTTATTGCACACACACACATAAATTGATTTTTTGTATAAAAAAAAATATTAATATATTTTTGAAAAAAAAAAACCTTCACTCTTCCGCTACCGGGGTTTTTTATATACAACTACACGCATTACGTATGGCAAGAATGAAAACCCAGAAAACTCCAACCAGCCAAGACGTCTATAGATGCGAGGCGTTTGACATTCATTGTCATATTATACATAGAATTTACTAGATTTTTAAAAGAAGTGACTGCACTGAACTCCATCAGAGTTATCTGAGCATTCCTGCAAGTAGTTGCGGACATTAACACTGAACCACGCGTCTGGTAAGAAGATTGGTTCTGATTTAAACAATCAATTTTGCATTCGATTCGTGTAACAGGGCTTACATTCAGAGATAATTTAAAATTATAGTAAAAATTTAATAATTTTTAATAAATTTACAATAATTTTTAATTATACTAAAACTGTAACTCTGTCTCATGAATTCGATGCAAGAACTGACTTTTAAACCTAAAATTATTGTTGGAATTCCTTTTGAAAATCACCATTCTTTTGCTAAAACATCTTATATAAATTAAGCAAAATTAAACTTATTCATTAAATAATAAATAGGGCCCGGCCGGGATTTGAACCCTGGACCTCTCGCACCCAAAGCGAGAATCATACCCCTAGACCACCGAGCCACGGAAGTCTCCGACGCTTATATACCAAGTACTTTTCTACTGTGTGTCGATAGAAACAGCTGGTCAAATAAAACCGGAGGAGCAGAAAACGGTTTTTCACAAACATACATTTTATATTATATACATTCAAATTCATTATGTATAAAGCTCTATAAAATATTAATGATAATTTTGCATCACATTTAGACTATTTTCAAATATATGACACGACAAAAATACTATTATATCAATTGCGCTGTATGGTAAGAATTTTATAACACTGTAGAATTCGAGTGCTAAATTTAAATTAATTTTTATTTAAACAAAAAAAAAAATGAAATTCTGGGCTCGGCCGGGACTTGAACCGGGACCTCGCGCACCCGAAGCGCGAATCATACCCCTAGACCACCGAGCCACAGCAATAGCGAAATATAAAGCTGTACGTTTTCTATCTTACATCAACAAAAACATCTGATCAAATAGACACTAAAAAGAATAAAACGAGCATTCGACACGCTTTGAAAATGCCGTACGTTGTTTCTCATTGATACGTTGTAACAGTGGAAGTGTAATAAAATCAACAAATAGCAGTGGTTAGATTTTAGATGTATTTCTACTCCGAACTATTTTATTATTTGTTGCTTCTTTATTAGCTCAGTTTATTTTTATTCATCTCCTTTCACTGCTTCAAAATTTTCGAAGAAAATTTCAAAAATTATTACAAATTAACAATGATATTTGAAATAAAACACTTTCCAGGGACTTGTTGAATCAGCAGTATTTTATCTTTTCCAATATTATATTTGTTAAACAATTTAAAAGTTGCCTCAGAAAATAATTGTTAGATTATTTAAATATAATCTGAATCTCATATATGAATAAATCAAATCAATCTTATCCATAGGCCAAGTACAGGATACTGAAAAAAAAATAGGCACAACAGGCAGAAGACTTTGAATCCTAACGTTAATCGTATGTGCTTGGATATCTTTAACTGTTCAAAGGGAATGAAATAATAATATCCCTACAAATTTTAATTATCACTCAATCTTCGCATTTCTGAAAGCAGTGCCTGAAACGAACGCCGCTAGTGAAATAAAACTACATCCCTCTTATATTTTAAATCTCACAATACCACTAAGCCTCAATTAAATTCTATTTATTTTTTGTTCTTTTTTAATTAGCAGAACACGAGACCACCGGCATATAAAACAAATTTAACATTTCTAATTTTATCCTAATAAGAATTATATTTGGAGATTGGTACATTTAAAGACATTTTTTTTATTATAAGGCGCTTTAATTTTTTTTGTTTATGTATGTTTTTTCAAACTAACACTATTACATTTTTTAAAATAAGTGCTAAGGGATTAAAGGTAGAAAAAAAATTATACATAATCCTTGGATAAGAATGATTGCTTTTAAGTTACTTGAAATATGCTTTTTAACTCTGCACTGGTGTTTCTTCTTAATACATTTTACTGAAACAAAAGAAAAATATTTTATTTTCTGTTACCCGCCATGCCACGTTCTATCTGCTAGCATGACAAAAAGTATAACAATTTGCATAAAAATTATAATTCGCAAAACTTGAGTTTTTAACAGACTCACACAAGAATGCAGTAAACCCTGATACTTTCAAAATTGATTTAAATACAAAAACGCATTATTTTTCAGTTCCATGCCTCATTAACTGAGATATTTCAGCAACATTTTCTTTCTGCGAAACTAATTTATTTTTTCGAGCGCAATTTCCAAATGGAGTCCTCAGCCGAGAGAAAGAACTCTCTTCTCGAAAGAACCTCACTTTGAAAATGTGAACTCGCATTGCAACAAGAAAGGAAACAACTCCGCTGTTCATTATTCAAATTCGAATCCTTGTGATGATTCCTTCTCTTAATAAAATGAATGCCCTCGTGATCTTGTCTGATGACGTTTTTGCACCATCATAGAAGACTTCTTTTGAAATTTTGGAAGAGATAATCTTGAATAAAATGACTAGAAATCACAACTGGAATTAATAATTCTTCTTCAGTCTGATTTAAATTACAGTGAAATTTTTTTAAATAATTAAATTGATTTCTCAAAGAATAAATATAATGGAAATCAAAATGAGATTCATTTATTGATCTGCCGTAGAAGATAATAGTAATTATGGAAAACAAGTACCTTAATATTCTTTAATAAAGCATAAATCCCTGTAAAGTGATAAATATTTTAATTGTTAATTCTTTCCGAAGCTTAGCTATCTGAATTGTTATGAAAATATCCGATTGAAAGTTTTGTTGTCATAAGAATAACTTAGCAGAAACATTACTTAAAACATAAATACTTTTCGCTTTTATTCAAAAATTAATTAATCAATATTAAAAGAAATGAAAATCCTTAATCATCCACTGCTTATTTTTATTTTTTAATATTATTTTTAAAAGATAACCAGTTGGTTCCGGTAATGAAAAACTACTGGATTCAAGTAAGGTAACCCTAAAACCAGAATTTTAAGGATAATTTGATGGAGTTAAAGAATTCATTTTTATGAGCATCCTCTTTACGACTTTATCATACGAAAATTAAAATGAATGACCAATAAATAAATCATTTGATTTTTTTTTAAATGAAGCAAATTGTCAAATAAAAAAGCAAAACAATTGTTCATGTATGAATATATAAAATAAAGCAGATACGATTTTAATAAGATTTATGATACCAAGTAAAGTTTCAATTAACATTTACTTCTCTGTTATGTATATTTAAACATGGATTATGAAAACAAAATGTTATAGTAAATGTGCTAAAATCAATAAATAGTTCGCTGCGATTAAAAATCTACAAATTATGCAATAGTGTTTCACAAGATATTTTCCACGAGAAGTGTTTGATTTTATTTGTCCTTTTCCTTTCTATGTTTTATTAAAAGATCTAACCAGAGAAAACGAAAAACGATATAAAATTCAAATTAATATTATGATGTTTCAAAGTTATAGGAACCAATCAGGAAGAAGATATGTTTTCGCAGATGTCATTTTACATTATTCTTAAATGGAATTATAATGTAAAGAGATAGTAAAATTATTTTCATTATCAACAATTTTATTTAATTTATAATTATATGGATAGATATTTTGTTATAATAGAAATAATATTCAATATAAATATGAAAAGAAATTCAATTTCTACCTCCTCTTACGTTTCAATTCATCTTCCACTCAAAATTAATGATCGCTTCTATACAGCAAATTAAGTCGCTTCTATACAGCGATTTTTCTACAGAAATAGGAGCTGCTCAAAAATATATTGCTGACAAGAAAAGGCTGTTCTTTACTTAAAGAACAGCGAGACCGAACATGACCGGAGTGATGTATTGTTAATTTAATTATTGCCGAAAAATCAATTCATCGTCGAAAAACACAGAGCTGATAAATCGCGAGGAACCCCAAGTGTCATGATCTTCAATCCCACTATTATGTTTTTCCGCATTTTATCTGTCTTGTTTTTCCATCCTTTGATTTGTTTTTCTTTTTGAAGAACGGAGAATGTACTTGAAAAAAATCTTTCAAAAGAATATTTTATTTTAGTTTTTGATCTGGTTCTCTTTGAAATTGTTTTTTAGGAGGAAGTCGACATTTCATGAAAATTATCTTCTATTTTTTTTTATCAATAAGGTAATGTTGACTTAATGATATTGTATATAATGCTGGACTATCTTAGGGAGGAGTTTGTTCCATGTGGTGACTGGGTGTAACAGAATTCTCTTTAAAAAGGATATGGCATTAGATTCCCTAAACAAAATTATTATGATGGAAGTTATTATTATGCTGAATGTAATGGAGAATGTGCATTGTTTTATGAAGAAGATTTTGTAGATTCATTTTATTGTATTAGCTTATTTTCAATTAAAAATTATTGGAGATTGAGTTATTTTTACTTTTATATACTTATATATATATATATGTCGTATATTTAATTCGACAAACCATTAATCAGAAAAAGAAATTTTGATTCCAAAGAACAGTGCTTTTTGAAAAGCTTCATTTCTTGCAAACCCAAACACACTAATTTCAGGTTTACTCACTTTATAGGTCTGAAAAAAACATAAATTTATATAGAAATATTGACACAACTCTTGTTCCAGAAAAGTACCACAAAAGTTCCAAAGTTCTAAAAAGTTCTTCAAAAGATTTTTTTATTTTTATTTTTGATCTGCTTCGCTCTGAAATTGTTTTCGGAAGAACTCTACAATTGATGAAAATTATAGTCTAAATTTTTTTGTCATTAAGCTAATGTTGACGTAATGATATTGTATATAATGTTGAAGGGCTACCGTAGGGAGAAGTTTGTTCAATTGTGACTGGAGTGCAGCAGAATTATCTTTCGCGGATATGGAAGCAAATTCCATAAACAAAATTATTATGATGAAAGTTATTATTATGCTGAATATAATGGAGAATGTGTGTTATATTCTGAAGAAGATTTTGTAAGATGCATTTAATTGCATTAACTTATTTTCAAGAAAGAATAATCGGAGATTGAATAATTTGTACTTCATTTAATTAGAAAAAATATTAATCCCCAAAGAAATTAGGAATCAAAGAACTGTGTTGTTTGAACAGCTTCGTTTCTTGTGTTTACTCAGTGCGCTTATTTCGAATTTACTCACTTTATACATGTTAATAAACACATTATAAATTTAAATAGAACTATTGGCACAAGTCTTGTTTCAGAAAAGGGCGATAACGATTTTTTTTTCTTTTCACTACGATTTGAGTTGTAAACATGTGTATGCATTTGACGATATATGAGGAACTTTTTAAAATTCTTAATCATCTGACTCCAAATCTATTATTTATGTATAAAGGTAGAGAAAAGTGTATAAATAAATAAATGAGTATAAGTCTACGATATATATGCATATTTAAAAGGAGCAAGCAAATTCATTGCTTTGTAACCTATCTGTATTGCCTACACCAGTGATGTCAAATTTGTGTGTCAGCACTACTATCATTGTATAAAATTGTAAATTTTTTAAAATCAGTAAGATTTCATACAATTATATTTTTAAAATTCGTATTTGTGATTATACGCTCATGTCCATAAATTAAAGATGATGAAGTTCAGGCAAAGAAAGAGACAGAAGCAAAACAAATTTGACTTATTTGTGAAGTCTATTTATTAAACAAAAAAGGTAAAAAAAAAAAGATGCTATATGTTTGACATAATTAATAAAAATTGCGATTTTTACTCCTGGTGCAAATTTCAAAAAGAACCTATTTACAAAAAACTGTATAACATGGTTAGTATGATGGTTATTATGGAGTATGTCTCCCGGACGATGCAATACAGGCCTTACAACGCCTAGGCATGTTCAGTATCAAATTATCAATCTGATCTTGGGGAATATTACACCACTCATCAAGC